CAGCAGCTGCAGAACATCTGATGGATGTGTGTGTGTGTGTGTGTGAATGTGTGTGTGTGTGTGTAGGTATTAGGTATAATGTGTGTGTATTAGGATTAAGATATTAGTTATTGGTCATAAATCAAATTATCATAATAAATGTGGCATCTTTGTCTTGACCCCTAAAACGATCCTGTATAAGTTTGTGGGACAACAATTTTACAGGTGGGGAAACTGAGGCACAGAGCAGTAACGTGACCTGCCCAAGTTTGCCCAGCAGTGCAGCTGGGAATAGAATCCAGGTCTCCTGAGACCCAGTCCTACCCACTAGGCCATGCTGCTTCCCTGCTAAAGGAGAGTTCCCAGTTCACACTTCCACCCTGAGCAGGAAAGAGAACCCAGGAGTCCTGACACACAGGGACTTATGCTGTGGAACGCACCCCAAGAATCCTGACTCCTAGCCCCCTTCCTCTAACCACTAGACCCCACTCCTCCTCCAGAGCTGGGGATAGACCCCTGGAGGGCCCATTCACAGCCTTTACCTTAGCCACAGGGCTGTCGCTTTTTGCTCTGAGTCTGTAGCGGTGCAGACAGTGAATACCCTGCCCTGGCCCTGCTCTGCGCTAGCTCAGTTGGTTGCCCAGTTAACTCACTCTCTGAGAGCAGGGTGCAGGCCCAGGACAGGTCAGTTGGCGGTCATGGCTGAGGGTGCAGCGTGGTCCCCAGGGACGTGAGCCTGTGCTAGGCTCTCATTAACTCAGCCTCGTACGTGCGTGGATGGGAGACCACTGCAGAAAGCATAGAAAGCTGGGGTGGGTGGTTTCCACTGAGTCAGTGCAGAACCCAGGGCCCCAGTGTGGTAGCAAGAGACGCTGCGTTTCGGAGGAGGTGTAAAACCCAGCTCCTGACCGCTTGTGGTCATTAAACATTCCTACGGTGCATGGTGAGGGGGCGCAGACCCTCTGCACGCTGGCCAAATGCCCCCCCCAGGTTTTTCCACTCCGCCTCTTTAAAAGGTCCCCTGTCATTTGGATTCTTCTTCGTTTCGTAACCGAAACTGCCCTGGAGGATTGTGGTGTGCGATCGAATAGCTGCCCCGTGCTCCACCCCAGAAAGGGCTGCATTTCAGAGCTGGGTGAACAAACCCTCTAGCCCGAGGGCCAAAGTCTGCTCTCCCACTACCACCGGGTGGAAATCTGTTACGCTGGCGTCGCTCAGTATAAATGGACTTCGGTGGAGTCGTTCCAGATTCACGATGGTGTCACCGAGAGCAGAAGCTGAGGCGTCAAATAAAACTGAAACCTCGGGTTGAATAAAAGGTCAGGTTAGTCCCAGGGAGCTTTGGGACCCATGGGACAGATCCCCAACTAGTGCAAATGGGCCCAATCAATGGAGCTCTGTTGATTTACTCCAGCTGGGATGCTGGAAACTCCTGTAGGTTGCTGGAGCCCGGGCCTGAGACTAACCCCACTGTTTTCTAAGGGAGTTACTCATTTCCACCAGGGGATGTGAGAGCTACCTCTCCAGAGCAGATGCAAGGCCTGATCCTTCTCCCATCGACACCAGGGTCATTCCAGTGACATTCCGCCCCCCTTGCTCCGGTGGGAGTGAGAATGAGGCGGCGGGCTGCTGGCGGTGGGGTAACACAATTGCGGCGCCTGTTGGAAATCCTCAGCTGACTTCAATGGAGCGACACTGATTTGCACCAACGGGGTGGGGATCTGGACCCATTGACTCCAATGGAGCAATGCCGATTTGCACCAGCCGGGAGTCTGGCCCTAGGTCTCAAGCAGGGATTTTACTTCAGAGCAGTCGCATCACACGGGGCCGACGAGAGAACTCATTTTATTTCGAAGCTCAGCAGCTGAGCTACAGGTAATTTTTACAATGCAGTGACCAATCTTTGCTCTGTCCCTTTGGGGTCTCCAGGTGCTTTACAGACACCGATTAACCCCACAGCTGCTCCCACTGAATTTAACGGCAGATTGGCCAGTTACTTCAACGGAAGCCAGATCGGGCCCAGGGAGGTAGATTACATGGAAAGCCAATGGCAGAGCTAGGAACAGAATCTGGGAATCCTGACTCCCCCAGCTCCTGTTGTCTTAGGCTCCACTCCTCTCCCACAGTGGGAAGTAGAACCCAAGAGTCCTTATTCAAGCTGGGAATAGAACCCAGGACCCTCTGCTCTAACCACTAGACCCCCCAGCCTCCCCGGAGCTGTGACTAGAACCCAGGAGTCCCAATGCCCAGCCCACTATCATATTAAGAGTGCGCTTCCTCCCAGACCCAAGCACTGCCGCCTATTAGCCCAGAATCCCAGCGCTCAGCTCTGACTCACCTCCCGGCATTTCACCGCCCCGAACATCTGTCAGAGCCGGCGCAGCCCCCAGAGTGCTCCAAACTCAGGTAGGGAACGGTGCAACTCTGATCAATGCAAACATTGCCCTCACGAGAGCAGAAAGAAGGGCAGAGGGGTCTGCTCTTTAAGGGTAAGGGTGTGTGTGGCAGGTCCTGTGGGAGACAGGCCCACAGCCTCCCATGTCCCCTAGGGAGGCGGCATCCAAGTAGGGTGACCAGACAGCAAGTGTGAAAAATCGGGACAGGGGGTGGGGGGTAATGGGCTTCTATATAAGAAAAATCCTCAAATATCGGGACTGTCCCTATAAAATTGGGACATCTGGTCACCCTACATCCAAGGCTTGGAAGGATTCGATTTTTATCTGTGTCAGTAAACGTCAATTTCACCAAACACACCCACAAACCGAGGACAAAAGCTATTTCCATTGGTAATCGTAGAAATGTACAGATGGGCAAAGTGAGAAAAAATGCTGCCTGAGAACGTATTGGGGTTTGATTTCAGGCCATTTACTTTGTATATTTTGACATGCGATGTTTGACCATTTGTGTTTGAACCGTTATAAAGATTTAACAGTTGAAATCTCAACCCCTACTTAGTTAAATAACTGCCTCCCCCCGCCTCCCCGTGTCTCCCAACTATGAACACTGAAACCAATAAGAACAGGAGGGGAAAAGCGACCCGTAATTTTGCACCATTGTGAACATTTACATTCATAAAAAAAAATTTAAAATGTCTAAAATAAACATCAATATCATCCATCAAATTATCAACAATTCTGCCCCCTCCCCCCCGTCCCAAACATGCCCAGTGGCCCTGGGGTAATGGATAAATAACCCTTAGATACAGCTGCTCCCTGAATATCAGGGAATACTCATTGGAAAATAAATAGGTGCACACACTTACATACATTCACGGCACATAAAGCAGCACAGGGAATGGCGGGACCCGGGCCACATCCCCAGCGACTGGAAATCCGCTTCGCCCCAAGGACTCCGATGAATCGACACTAACGTCTCCCCGCCGGAGATCTGGGCCCGTCACGCAGGATCCTCCCCTCGGCTAAGTCTTACATCGGCGCCCCTTCCGCGAACTTCCTCCGGATTCACACCGCAGCGAGTGAGAGGAGAACTTGGCCCGTTCTCGCCAAGGGCGGAGACGCGGGGCTAAATAGCGAGGGCCCGAGCCTCGGCAGGGATATTGCCCCATCGCAGCCATGCTGATTTGCACCAGCTGACGAGACGGCTCCCTGACGCTCTTCCTCGGGCAGACTCCTCAGGTCAGACCCTCAACGGGAGGTGCCCGAATCAGGATCTTCCCCGTGAGCAAAGGGAACGGCAGGATTTGATCCCGTCAAGCACCATCAGTTGCTAAGCAGAACGGCAAGCCAATTAAATACACTTCCCTCCCTCCAACACCCGGTCAGCTGGCACAAACAAGCATGGAATGATTGAAGTTACACTGATATACAGTGGCTGAGGGTCGGCCGGCCTTGGCGACCTGGAGGCAAAATGTCCCATAGTCCCTTGGGGTAGCCAGTTTCTTTGTCTCTCCACTTTCAAAGCTCATCTTGGCTTTCGAAGCTATTTGAAAACCGCTGGACCTGATGGCGGGACAGTGGCCAGCTACGCAGGGGAGAGCATTATGGCCTATAACACAAGGGTAAGGGAGAACCAGCATCCCTTTTTTGCAGCTAGGGAAATGGAGGTACAGAAAGGCAGGTGGGTGGCACAGCTGGGGATAGAACCCAGGAGTCCTGACTCCCAGTTCAGTGACCTCCCCCTGGACCGATCTACTGCTTACTAGAGTCTCTTCCGTCCAAAGCACTCCGTGCAGCTTAAGCTTCGGGATGCCCTCGTGAGGCGGCATTTTTGTGCAGCAAGCCATACAGAGAGAAAGTGTCTGGACTGAGGTCACACAGCAAGTCAGTAGCAGAGCTAGGACGAGGCCCCCGGAGTCCTGATTCCTAGTACAACGCCTCAGCTGGAAGCCCACCCTTCCTTCTTCTGAGCTCTGTGACCAGCCTCTGAAGTTAACCTCACGAGCCGGATCCAGTCTGGGGAGCGTATTAGACCGGGAAGGTGCAACAGTATTTTGGGGGGTGCTGGGTCAGAGGGATGGTCCATGTTCCAGTGGAAGATTAAAAAGCACAAGGCCTCAACCCAAAACCCAGCACTTGCAGCTGTGGGAAGGGCCTGCTCAGATCATGAAGGTGCCGAAATAAGACCTGGTGCCGTCTCTGACCTGTAGCATCTGTCTCTGTGACACCTTGACGTAAATCTGCTCCTCCTCCTCCAGGTGGAAGATTCCTCCGAGGAAGCTGTTTTGCCGCCAGAACCTGTTGTCCTTCCCATCGCAGAAAAGGATCAGGTTCTCCACCAGTTTCATCTCCTCGACATACCTGGGGGTCTTCTTATAGATGCTATGATAGATAACGGAATTCTGGTCCTGCTGAGAGCAGCTCTGCGCCATGAGATGGATCTTGGAGTAGATGTAATAGTAGCCCGGCTTGATGCAGACCAGGGAGCCGCCCTGGTAACGCATGTCATGCAGGAAAGCCCAGTCCTTACTGTGTTCCCACTGCAGAGAACCGTTCCCAGAGGTGGTGAAGGCTGCACCTGGGGAACAGGATGCCCACAACATGTCAGGCCTCAGCTCCCTCCCTGGGTCTCAGCCTAGAAGGAGGCATAACTGGGAAGAGAACCCTGGAGTCCTGGCCCCATCCTCCCCTGCTCTAATCACTAGACCCCACATCCCTCCTAGAGCTAGGAAGAGAACCCAGGAGTCCTGGCCCCATCCTCCTTCACTGCTCTACTCACTGGACCCCACATCCTTTCCAGAGCTAAGAACAGAACCCAGGAGTCCTGGCCCCATCCTCCTTCACTGCTCTAATCACTGGACCCCACTCCCCTCTCACAGCTGCGAACAGAACCCAGGAGTCCTGATCCCATCCCCCACTGCTCTAACCACGCCCCTCTACAACAGAGGCAGCAGACTATGCAGGGTTAAGGAGGACTTCAACCTACCCAAGACGTGAGCTGCTGGCTTCTCAGCGTGAAGTTTCCGGTCTGCAAATGAGACAAACAAACAAACAAAGGCCCAGCTGTGAGATCAGCCCAGTTCCGAGTCCTGTCCCCAGCGTGGGCTGGAGAAGAGCTGAGTTCTGGAGATGGCCCTGGATCTGAACTGGGACTCACCCTCCTATGTAAAGCAATGGTGCCCTGTGTCCCCCCCCCCCCCAGTAATGTCACATTCATCTTGTCCCCCATCTGCCTTGTTCCATTGCACCCTCATCACGTTCCCCCCACTCACTCCATTACACCCCCATTCCATTCACCCCTCACTGTCGCAACCCCCTCTCCTTCCCTCTCCCCCCCCACCCGTCACCACTTCCTTCCACTCTCCCCCGCACTGGGTCTAGCCTGCACTTTCATCGGGGCCGCTATTTAATTTCTCTCTCTGTTTCCTTTCTGTCTCGTTTCCACACACACCGCGGCCCCCCCCCCGCCGCACGCTTCACTGCACCCAGCTCAGAAAAGACTCCCCCTCCCGCCCCCCCGGAAAGCAGTTGCGGGGGAGGATGCGCTAGGCAAACATGCTGCTTCATGTTGTATTGCAGTGAACCGTCTAGCACCTCTGGGCCCCACTGTCCTCTGCTGGATGGGGTTGGAACTGCTTAGCCATGTGTCAGAGACCCCATCCCGCTAGCAGCTAAAAGGAGATTTTCTGTTAGGGGGAAGCGTTTTTGCAGGAGCGGGGTCTGGGCCTGCAAGTTCTTTTGTGCGGCATGGCTGCGGAGCCATCCCAACCCATCCCACGGCCACTATTCAACTGCCTAGGCCAGAACCTCAGATGGTGCAAAGCAATGGAGCTCCTTTGACTTCAGGGAAGCTCTGCTAATTTGCACCAGCTGAAGATCTGGTACACTAAAAGCAGTAAGCTCACTGTGGCAGGAACTGTCTTTTTGTTCTGTATTTAAATTGTACAGCGCCTAACACAACGGAGTCCTGGGTCATGACTGAGGCTCCTAGGTGGTACCGTAATACACCTAATCAATAATGTACAGCACCTAGCACTGGGATCCCGAGCCATGACTACTGTATACGCTACTGTAATAAAAATCCACCACCCTGACTTGGCAATATCCCCAACCCCCACCCGCTGTACCAAATCAAAACCACCTCATCCTGTCCTGGGTCTTGCTTTGCTGAACGACAGGGATGCTCAGAACCTGAAAGCAGCAGCAGGGACAGGACCCATAATTTCTGTTCCAAAAAGAGCTGAAGGAGAATCTCTGTTCACAGTGTCGGGACTATGAAACACAGATGAGCAGTTCTGGTACCATCCAGCAGAGGACAGCGGCGCTCATACACACTAGCCACCTCGTTACTGTGCTCTTGACCAACATAATCAACACATTAAAGACATAGTCCCACTGCCAAGTCAATATCATCATCATCCCTAACTCACTTATATGCCCCTTTACATCAGTGGACTCCACAGGCCTTTACAAAGGAGGTCAGTATCATTGTTCCCATTATAGAGAAGGGGAAACTGAGGCACAAAGAGGGGAAGTGACTTGCCTAAGGTCACCCAGCAGGCCAGTGGCATAGGTGGGGATAGAACCCAGGTCTCCCAGTCGAAGGCTCTGTCCGCTAGGCCGCACAGCCTCCAAATACCTGCAGCCATTAACCTCATCGCAAAATGCTCCCCGAGCAGAATGGTACCCCGGCTCCTCACTCTAGAGTCATCGATTCCCAGGCCAGAAGGGAACGTTTGGATTATCTAGTCTGACTTCCTGTATCAACACAGGCCACAGGACTTCCCTGGATTAGTTCCTGTTGGAACTAGAGCAGGTATGCAAGAAAAACAGCCCATCTGGAACACAAAATTCCCAGGGATGGAGAATTGTAGCCCAGTGTTCACTCTGATCCATTACATCAGAGTCACGCAGCAGGAGAAGTTTCCTTTCCTCCTCCTGCCACCAAGAAGGGCTATATATACAAACCACCGAGAGGCCCAACCTGAGAGTCCTTGAAGCTATGAATAAACCTTGGTTGACCAACCCATTACAAATAACCCATTGCAATTCTTTGTGCGAGCACACATCTCTGTCCCTAGCGTGGAAGGTCTGATGCAGAGCTGTTAACCAGAGGAAATGGGGTGGGGTGTGGAGACAAGGGGGCTTCGTTAACAGAGATTAGACCCAACCCCAGTCGGAGTCACACTAGGCTTTGTGGAAACTCACTTCTGGGTACGGTCGGTGGGACTGTTTGTGGCAAATCAGTCGACCGACGAATTTAGAACCAGATTCCAAGCTGGTGTAAACGGGCAATGCTCCACCGGCGTCAACAAGGGCTATCCTGATTTACACCAGCTGAGGATCTGGCCCCGGTCCGCGTCTGCTTGGGAATAAATGGGTGAATGTTTTTATTTCAGCGGGTCCAACCGCGGGGCAGGAATTCTCCTCTCCCCGCTTTGACACCGGTGTAACGCCGCTGGCGAGGTCACAGCAGCGTAAGTCAGGCACTGGGAGATTGTAGCGTCGTTTGGCTGGTTCATTCTCCTGGCCAAACCCCTCAGCTGGTGCGAACTCAACGGGGCTACTCCCATTTACAAGAGCTCAGTTCCCATGTAGGCACCGACATACGGATCTTCCAGTGGTCAGCACCCCGCGTGCCTCTGAATATCTGGCCTTGACTTAGGTCCCTTTGGGTGCGTCTACACAGCGGCGAGTATCAGAGCCTGGGCCAATTGATTTGGATTCATGGGGCTTGTGCCACAGGGCTAAAAATAGCCATGTAGACATCTGGGCTCAGACTGGAGCCCGGACTCTGAGACCCGGCAAGAGGGGAAGGTCCCAGAGCCCAGGGTCCAACCTGAGCCCAAACGTCTACCCCACAATGAAACAGCCAGGCAGCCCTAGCCCTGTAAGCCGGAGTCAACTGCCACAGGTCACCTGCAGGTGTTTAATTGCAGTGTAGACATACACTGTGTAATGTAGCGGCGCGCTTCTGGAAAAAATCTATCCTTCATTGGGAGAACTGAGCTCTTAAAATCTGGTCTGTGTTCCAGTGGGCTGGCAGCTGAGGGTTAGCAAAAGGGGGAAGAGATTTACCTTGAATGGACTTCTCGGAGATGGCCCCTGCTTCCTCCTAGAATACAAAATACAAGTCTGTCAGGAAGGCCACACACACACACACACACACACACACACACACACACACACACACACACACACACACACACACACACACACACACACACACACACAC